GGTTTATTTTAGGATTGAGGGTTTGGGGTTCATAACTTGGCATTTAAGGTTCAGGGTTGATAATTTAGGATATAGGGTTTAGAGTTTAGCCCCCAGTCAGTCGGGGATTTGCTGGCTTAGGATCACAATTATTTTGCAAATCTCTCGATGGGAATTCTTCCCATCTGCCGCCTAAATACACAAACTCGTAAGTGCCGATGTTCTAGATGGATGCTGAGAAGACAAGGATCTCAAACTCTTACCCTCCGTGATAAGTGGATGCGACGCTCAAACCCATCGCAAGCACTTTGAGGCCAAAGCCGTGAGCACACCATGAACCTAATCCATAACACCTGAAACCAGAAAACCCGTAAGATCCGCTTATACGCCCTTACCGCCATCCTGCGGCATAAGCGACAAGGCGTAATCCCCCCAAACCTAGCCTTAATGACGACAGTCATCCTACACCCGAAACCTGGCAGAGACCCTAAACGCGAAAACCAGGGCACGAACAAGAAGATCAGAGGTCCTTTAAAATGTGAATAACAGGGTATGGGGGTGTAGAGTTTCGGGTTTAGGGTGTTACGGGGCCCATTATGGTCTAGACTGACAAAGAGACTTTCAGGGGATGCTAAACTAGTTATACCGACCGATACACATATATATATATATATATATGCCATATATATTTATATGCCATATATATATATATACACATAAGTATATAATTCCACCCGACGCATGCTGCATCACCAGCCTCAGCGTGGCGCTGCTGCATCAGCTCACACTCGCGGACTCTTCATATTTCATGGCTCGGGATTTATGGCTTGTGCTGATGACTTGCGCGGTGGCTTCGGTTCCGTGGTCAAGTTTACGGTTAAACCTGAACCCATCTCCAAATTGGTGGGGGCAACGCATCCGCGCTGGCCCAAAGGCCATAGGGGCCCTCTTTGCGAGATGCAGATGCACCCTATATAGGGGCCTTAATAATTAGAATAGGGTTTGGCGCCCATTCTACTATATCTAGAATCAATAAGGAACCCCCAATATGGTATTGACTTGACTTGACTTGACTTGACGTTGGTTCGTGCTGTCTCGGGGAGATAGCGCAACGCAAAATTTCATGCATTGAGTGAAACAGGACGGATGTCCCAAAAGCTCGCGGCGGAGCCGCGTGGTCCTTCACAGCTGCGCTGCTGTATGTGTCCCTCGATCCAGTCGACATTGGTAGCGGAAGGGAGAAACCGGGGGCAGAGTTCGGAGAGAAGCACGGAATCCTCTGCTGCATTAGCAGAGGGGCATCTTTCTTCCCAAGTAGGTGCAACAGGGCCAAACACTGAAGGGCATGCGGTGGGCACCTCGAAAGACTTCCACTGACCTGCCTTGCGTTGCTTCCTGGCACGAGCCTCCGGGGCCTCGGCTTCCTTGATTTCGTCGACTGTCATGGGAGGGATTAGACGGACCACGCGTCTGAGACATCTGTCAGAGCTCTTTAGGTGCATCTGGACCCTGGTCACTGTTCCGTAATGCCTGTGGCACGCCAAGCAGAACGGAAGCGGTGCAAAGTGCCTCGTAGGCGCCAAAACAGCATGTGTTCTGGACAGATGGACTCCTAAATGCTTCCTAAGCTCAAAGCGAGCCCCACAAATGTAGCACTCAAATGGCCTGTTTGTCGCAGGTGCGCGCCCTACTGGTACCGTCTTGGCTCCTGTAGTGCGCTGCTGATACCAGCGCTCCAAATCAGATCTGAAGATCTTCACTGCCTTACGCACCTGGGTCAACCACCACTTAGGCTCCTCGAGGAGAGAGTCAAGGATGGATATAACCTCCTTGCCGGCAGGAACAAGGGGCCTGACGGCCGGCACATACAAGCAAACTTGCTGAACGTCAAACTTTAGCTGTTCCAGCCAGGAACTGGCAGGGTGAACAGCCCAGTGATCAAACAAGAGCCTGGCCAACAAACCCATGCCTTTGACAGTGACACTGACAAGGAAAGAGGCACGGGCAAGCGCAGCAGCAAGAGGCGGTGAAGGAGCACAGGCCGCGCGAAGGACAGTGTATGAGTGTTCCGTACGATCAGCGGCAGTACGGCGAAACAGAGCGCGCCAGAGAGCAACAAAGTGCTGTGACCAGACCCTTCGATGACAGGCCGCATGAAGGACAATCGCCGCCGAAGTGTGCGTAAAGCGCGAAACGGCAAGTGACCTCAGTAGTGACCGTCTAGTGGCCAGTGGGGTCAGCGGGTCTCCGAATAGCCGCCTCTGGAGCGGCTTGACGACAGAGTTGGCCCTGGCGAACCTGTGATACAGATCTGGTAGAGGGGAGGTGTTAGCAACCAGGATTCCCCCTAGGTGCTTGTAAGATTGAACCACCAGGAGATGGTGGGACAATCCTGAGACCGCATCGCGGATCGGTATGAAGACCTGGCCATCTGAGTCAAGCTGGGTGATGCCGTCCGAAAGAGGGGCGACGCGCGTCGTAAGCATTGTGGCTGTCTTTTCTCGGCCAAAGGATACTGTCATCCCCATGGCTGTGGCCCTTTCAGTGACCCTGGTTACACTGGCCTGCACTCTGCGAACAAGGTCGAAAGGGCCCTCTCCAGTCTGGGGCTGTAGAAAATCGTCGGCCCACGCTGGACAGCCGATCCTCTCATCCAGGTTAGCTGTAGCCCAGCAGTGACGCTGGCTTGGAGTCGGGACTTCCGGCAAAAGACCATGATGTCCAAGGTCCTGATCCAGGCTCTGCAACAGGGCTGCCAAAGTGAGGCTGAACAACACGTCAGCTGCCGGATCTCCCGGCCGAGTGCCACGCTTTGTGATCGTTAGCAGTGCACTACCTGAGATACGGAACCAGGATCCTCGAAACATGTCATTGATAACTGCCGTGAGATGTTCGGAGGCCCCGAGTCTCGGCAGAAGGGCAAGCCGGGTCAGGTGCTCCTTTAGCTCATCCACTGCTCGGGGCGGCAAACCAAGCGAGGCAAGTAATCGTAGGAGGGCGGTGTCGTCCTCGCAACCTGGCACCACCGCCTCCCGGATCACCTGGTAGTAGGCCGCCTGTAGGTCAAAGAACGTAAGAGCCCAGTGCCTGCGCCTGCCTTCTTGCAACAGTTGGAACGTCTTGGCTGCAACACTGATGACCTCAACTCCTTCGCCTGGCATAGCTCCTGCTTGGAGTGAGGGCCGTAAGTCAGCCAGAAGACCGACTAGTTCTGTACGGAACTTCCTGTGAAGTATTTTTCCAGGGATGCTTGAGACAAGGATAGACCGAAAGTCCCGGCATTGAAACGTGGCGCCGGCTTTCTTAGCCAGCAGGACCAGGTCTCCACCCCGAAAGGTCAACGGCTCCCTGAGACCCAGACAGGACTGAAGCAACACAGGCCACAGTTGTCGAGCAACAGTGGGAACATTGAGCTGCAAAAGCTCGGTTGTAACCGAGTCGGGGCCTGGTGCTTTGCCACGACTGAGACCTAGTATAAGTGACTCCACCTCCGCGAGAGTGGGGACAACACTCAGGGAAAAGACTGGGCGGCTGGCAGGCCTGGCATAGCCGGCGAACTCCTGCACATACTGTGCCGGGGTAGCCGCGATGCCTGCCTCTTGCTGTGCAAAATGCTTGCGCCATGCCTCCGAACGGTCTTCAGCACTGACAACAAGAGCTCCGGCTCCGTCGCAGACCGCAGGGAGAGGTTGGAACATGCTGCGACGGCTGGAGCGAGCAGCGGGGAAGGCTTTTTTGACAGCTGCATATAGCGAGGCAGGATTACGCAGATCTTGCACGCGAACATTTGCAGCCAGACCCTCCAAGTATCGAGCTCGATCAGAGGCGATAATCTTGCGAAGGTAAAACCCCAAATGATTCAAGCGGAACAGAGCTTCTGCCTCGCTGTGGTCCAGCTCTGAAAACCAGCGACATAAGACTGTACGCTGCCCGTCCTGAAACTGAAGACCGTCATGTAGCAGTCGAAAGGCAGCAAAACCGAACAAGAGCAACCTGCGCTTCCTTTCATGGCGTTCCGCACGCAAGTGCACACGAAGCTCCTGGCGGAGTTGCACAAGGCGAAATGTGGCAGCACTCAAGTAGGGTTGTCGGGGGCGCGACTGCACAGAGGGCTCCAACTCCTGTCCAGCAGCAACCCAGAAGCTGGACAGCGCACCATACTGGGTATCAATGTCCGTACCCCAGGGGGCTGGCCGGAAGCGGGCAAGGACTGCATCAACTATTATCTTGTCACCCTCCTCTTTGGGCTTGTCTGGCCTATAAGCACGGCGATGAACGGACGAGGTGCGCCTTGGACCTTCTGAACGCGCACAAGAGCAGTGAAGCGCAACAGGCCAATGATCATCTCTTTTTTGCAGCGCCTCAAACTCCTCGATGACCCAAGAGCACAGGTCAAAGGAGGCCCAGGATAGGGGAGTAACAATGTAGTCGATTCGATGCCTGGTGTCAAAGGGCGAAGCCCAAGTGGCGTGGGAGCCCTGGTGGTGGACATCAAAGGTGGATGGGAGATAGCCACCGACACGGGCAAGAAAATCTCTGAAAAGTTCACCCGCTGGGTTCTCTTGTTCTTGACCGAAGTCCCCCACATGCTCGGTGTGGATTGTGCCCACTCGGGCGTTAGCATCGCATAGCAGCAGGAAGTCTGCCCCAGCTGGGCGTTTCTCGATCTCAACGGCTCGAGCCTTCCAGAAGTGCTCAACCTCACTATGGGAGGAATTGGCTAGAGTGGGGGCATGAACAACCATCACGACCAAGCGAAGGTAATCTGCAGCAACATCCACTGTCAAGTGTCGAGGGGAATGTCCAAACACATTGCAGTGCTTGGCCCCCAGGAAATGAGGAGTAGAGCCAGTGTGCCCGTACGGGGTTGTCTTGGCAATCCAAAGCGCAACTCCAAGCGAGCCCTGAGCGGTCGAGGCCGACTGCAGAATCAGAAAGTCAGCGTCCGGCTGTAAGCTGGAATCCGGAACCCGGGTCTCCTGCAGGCCAACAAAGAGTGGGGCAAGTGGACGGAGTTGGACCTTGAGAAGCTCCTTCTTGCCTGTGATGCGCATGCCAGCCGCGGGCAGAGGCCCGTCTCCATGTGTCTTGGAATCGCGAAGAGTCAACACATTGTAGGAGACTGCCTTGAAGTCCATTACAACTGTGCAACTGCCAGATTCTTTTGAGACAACACCTGGAGAAGGGGCCTGACTGGGACGGTCATCGGTCTGCTGGAGTCGTCCAGCCTCCGATTCCATGGCAAAAAGTGTGGGAAGATCGAAATAGCTATCAAAGAGCATCCATGCCCAAGGAAGAAGACGATGTTTGGCAAGTTGTGCGGGCCAAGTAGGTGCAACCCTGTCATAGTAGTTGCGAGGACCACGCCGTGCCTGCTTGGCCAGCTGGTCAGACAACTCGTTTTCGATGTGCCCAGCATGGGCGGCAACGTAATCGTGCCACAGTGGGCAGAGCTGGGCCGCGATATGTCTTAGGTGGACAAGGACAGTAGCAATGTCAGGCATACCTGTGACGATGGCAGCACGGCACGGAGGGCCCCATTCGCCAAAGGCACCTTTGCCGGCACTCTGGGCATCGTAGTGAAAAAAGACTTCCACCTGAAATCTGGGCGCAAACTCAATGGTCCATGCAAGTCCCCACGCAAGGGCGAGCTGTTCCCCCACCAACGCCGTCTCTTCACACTCTCCTAAGAAGAAGGGTGAATCACAAATGGCAGAGGTTTCCGACGCAAAGCCATACAGTAGGCGACCCCACTCTGTATCAAACCAGACCGAGAAAGCCCACGAGCAAGGCGAGATGTCATGACGCCCGCTGGACGCGGACCCATCTGTGAACACATGAATGGCCCACGGCTGTGGTTCGCCATAATCATGCCACTTGCACACATTGACAAACTTGGTTCTCCATTCAAGCGGAACATGGGAGTCTTCTGTGAGAAGACTCATATCATTGTCCAGCCAATCTTCCGCGTCTTTGTCGGGGAAGGAGAAAAGAGCTTGCAGCGAAAGACAGGAAGCCTGGAACTCGCTGACCGGAAGCAAGCTCTCAAGAACAACGGGCTGGCGTGGAGCCGGGACACCAACAACCTGAGGCCCAGGAGAAGAAGTGTCTGGCGCAAACCTTACAACCGGGCGCCGATGGAGCGGAAAGAAACCAAAGGTCTCAAGCAGCACTTCAAGTAGGGTGGTCGCCAAGAAAAAGGCTTTGCAACCCGGAGCCGCGACTGTCTCCTCCAAGAGAGTCCGACAAGGTCCTATTGCACGAAGGAGAACCACATCGACACTGGCTTGTCTTCGTGGAGCCTGTCTATCATCACGAGGGCTGCGAGGGGCAAGACGCCTAACAGTAGCTCGATTACGAAGCGGCGTGGCAACTGCACGCATACCGGCAGCAAACCTATTGCAGGTGAGAGTCCGGGCGTCCGGAAGGTCGGCTTTTGGGGCAACTACATCCAATTGGCCAGGCATGCCACTGACCGCCTGCGAAAACAATGCCAGAAAGCAGAGGGCACGGAGACCGTGTGCGCCGCCTGTAAGGCCGGTGCCACCCACACTTCCTACACTGGTAGAACATTTCCGCTGAGAGGCTGGAGCACGAGCAGAGGTGTCAGCAGAGTTGACATCAGCAATGTCACTTGTAAGAATACTCCGCTTCCACTTGCATAAGCCCCACAAGCCAAGCTGTGTGGAGGAATCAAGAGTGCCGGCAGAGCCAAAGGCACCACCGCCGAGCCCGAATTGGGGCGAAGAGTCACGGGGACCCGCTACGTCTATACTCGGGTGCGTAGGCGAAGGTGGGCCTTCTTCATCCGGGCCGTGGTCGTGGCCTTGGTCATCTGGCCTAAATGAAAAACCGTGGCCAAGACCTCGCGACCAGTAAGGAACAAACTCTATCGTTAGAACCTGTCCTGGGAAGACCTGCCTGGAGTGATTGGCTCCGCCGACGGCCGCCGCTCCCCCAAATAGACGAATGGAAAAGCCCGGAGGGCAGCGACGCTGTTGTCTAGCACAAATGGGTTGAACCTCGACGAGGCCGCGAGGGGCTGTCGCCCAAACGATGTCCAAGAGCACCCTTCTCAAATCCAGTATGTACGGCACCTGCTCATGGTGCGCCGCAATAAAGACCTGCGTGGTTGACATGCCCTGCTGTGCATGATCACGAATAGCAGGGGCGGCCGGAAGGAAAGAGAAGTTTGCTGTAGGGGCCTGGAGTGCCGTTGCAACCGAGCGCCAAAGAGGCGATCGGGATCGCCGGTCGGTATGAAAGCGTGTCGGGGCCTGCGCTGTGAGCAACCAAATACTATCCGGGTACGGCCCAGGCATCACCGGTTCATGTCTTACCTCATCTGGAAACCTGAGCAACTGTTCAAGAGACAAGGGAGGTGCCACGCGACGACTTGTCTGACAGATGGTCAAAAGGTCTCCTGGCCTAACATGGATTTGTGCACCGGCGGCAACAGGCCATGGGACATCAGTCACATAAACTTGTATCTCCTCACCAGGCTCAAGACCGACAAGACGCAGAACACCCTCCGATGAAAGGACAGAGGGGAGCACTTCAGTGAAGACCCGAAACGGTGGCACATAGCATACAATCAGCACCGGAGTGCCATCGCAGGGCCAAGGTGGCAAGGCGATCAAGCAGGCATGTGACAGCGGAGGTTGAACAGGAACCGGCACCAACCGAGGGAAGACATGGCAGCGAAACGCATCACGCGCCTGAGAGGCCGCCCGGAGAACGTCAGGCAGTTCCAAAGGCGGCGCAAGCTGCACATGAACAAACTCGGGTGTATACCGAGGTGTGCACACGAGTAGGTCGAGGTGGACAGTCCTCGTGGCAACATCAATATGTGCCTCCGGTTCCGTGTCAATCAGGGCTCCGGAGGTGGAGCTGAAATCCGCATCAGCGGAGGATCGATGAGAGGCCGATGTAGCAGGTAGCGTGCTGGAATCAAGGGCCTGACCTTCCAACTGCGCCGATTCCGCTGGCGAATCCTGCCTGAGTGCAACCTCAAAGGTCTGACCAGGAAAGGCATGAATATAGCCTTGGCGAGGGCGAGGCCCCGTAAACGCAGCATGCCAACCGGGCGGCGCATGAGCATCCAGGCCTGCCAACGCTGAGCCGACGTCAAATGTGTTGTCCCGCACCACTAGTGGACGCCAGCCCGCTTCTAGTGGGCGGCAATCAAGGATGGCCAAGTGTGCCCGGCGAGGTCCCGCGACCACACGTCTGTCGCAGACAGCAAGTACAGTATCACAAGGCATACCGTCTATTGCAGCATCGGCTGGTCGTGGCTGAGCCGCAAAAACGGCGGCGTCTTCGGTGTGCAGGTCGGCGGCATGAGCCACAAGTTGCCTGTGGCGATTTGCCTCCTCAGGACAGATGACAAGCAGTCTGCTTTGTTCCCCACTGACGACGCAAAGGGCACTGGTCAGTGGATGGGGTGGCAGGGGTACATCGGGACCCCAGCATCGATGATTAAGCAGCAGCTGGCCCAGATCAAAGTGATCGATGGGCTCGTCTTCAGCAAAATGGAGAACAACCAGGGCACCTGGAAAGAGGTGACAAGAAGCCTCATCTGTGATTGGCTGTTCATCAGCCGAAGACCAAGCCAGAACCCCGATGTTGTCAGAGATCTGCGCGGCACGCAGCAGGTCAACACGTCGGACATATTCTGGAGTAAAGGCAATGAAAATCCTTCGGTCGATTCTAGTGGCATCGATACAAATGCCATGACGGTGGCCGGCCCAGGGCGGAAGTGCGCTAAACACTGCAATCCCTTGTGTAGGCTGAGGAAGAATAGGCAGAAGGGCAGGGAACAGGCTTTGCATGTGAGGACAGCGTGCAGCTTGTAAAGCTGAAGCCAATTCGTCTTGGGTCGCAGGAAACTGCAAAGCAACAGTCGCGGTTTCTGGCACATAGTCATGCTTGAGGACAAGGCAGCGGACCCATTGAACAGCCTCTTCCGCCTCCTCCTCCGACCCTTCGGGAGACTCCGCAGCGTGTAGGAAGAGGTCGGGCAAAAAGCTGGGAATAGTGGGCAGCCATTGGCCACCCAACGATGCTGTGAGTGCACGTAACACATCCAAGTGCTGCCTCTCAACACGATTTCGCCCTTGAGGCTCCTGCAGAAGCTTGCAAGCATGAATCCCAGCGCTAACATCGAGCTTGCCTGAGGCAACCTGAAGTAGGTGCACAGGGAAGAGAATGTCCTCACAAGTGAACTCAAAGCAGGCTGTTCTCGAGCGGCTTCTGTCTCTCTGCCCTGAATCCGAAGGAGCTTCTGCTGAGGCTGAAGTGGCAGGCATGGCAGTAAGACCGGCTCCAGTAGCCGGTACAGCAGCACTGACTGAAATGGAGTCGTCTGGGTCAGAACCATCCGACGCCGGAGATTGTGCCCGAGGTGTATCTTCGGGAGTGGTAAGGGGCACAAACTCGGCAACAAGGACCTGTCCGTGTTCGACCTCCAGGAAGCCCTGCTCGATACCAGCACCTATAACCTGAGCCTGCCAACCTTCCGGCACAAAAAGCTCGACGTGATCAATGAGGTCAGAGTGAGAGATTCTAGGCTGCGTCGTAACCCATAAGGTCCAACCTTCAAGAAGCGGCCTCTTGTCAATGATGGTCACAAAAGGGTCATGTGGCAGTTGGGCCGTATCCTGATCAGCCGCCACCACCGCACACAGTGCGTCGCAGGGGAGGCCGTGGCATTGCGCATCTTGGGAAGCGGGGGCACCAACACAGTAATGGACCCTGGCACCTTCAAGGCCGGCCGCCTCTTGGGCAGCAGTTCGAAAATCCACTGCTGCATCAGCAACAACGAAAGAGCGGGAGCACTCCTCAGTGATAAGACAGATGCGGTTGGCAGCAGACTGCACCGGGAGCCGAGGCTCTGCATCCCAGCTATAGGGTGAGTGCAACATGGTTTCCAATGTAGGTCCTTGTACCGTCCGTGCAGCACCTGGCAGCCTGAAAGTAATGGTACCTGCTTCTTCAACATCGACTCTCTGACCATCCAACATGGGGTGGTAGTGGAAGTATGGAAATACCTCCGTGTCTGAGTCAGTGGGGAGATTGGCTGCGTACAGTGCTTGTTGCCGGGTAAAGGGGTTCGGCACTGCCCCTACATAACAGCGGCCGTCAACTTCAATGGCATTGAAAAGAGAAACCGATTCTTCGGCCGACCACGGCGGCAATGAAACAAGGGCGGCCCAAAATTGCGACGGCTGTGGACTTGCCGGTACAAGCCTGGGATAGTAGCGAGACCTATCCTCACTGAGGGCATCAGATACAGCATCTATGGCTTCCTCAACAGTGCACGGTGCAACAAGCGTGACCTTGACAACCTCCGGCTGAGTGTCAGGGGCGAAGACAGCAAAGGTAGGTGACCATACCGGATCATAGGAGTCATCAGACTCAGCAGCAGCGATTGCCGGCTCTTGACCGCCTAGACCTCTGGGTGTATCTTCTCCAAGCCGGAGGAATGGTCCGGGAAGATGTTCGACCTCATCTGCGGCAACGGAGGACCGAAGGGTCTGTCTTAGAGCCTCCGTGCCTTCCGAAGGAGTTTTACACTCAAGCAAAGGACTGGCAAGCGGAACCTGGAAAGCCTCCAGGATGATATGCTTAAGCCCGTAATTGTCACTGCAGTTCGCCACAAAGGCAAAGTTGGCCGGAAGTGTGCAAGGGCAAGCCTGAGAATGAATGCTGTATTTCAGCTTGCTCAGAAGCTCATCAACCTCTGGTCGAGCCATCGCTTGGACAACCTGGAGCGGAAAACCAAGCTGTCGTGGGTCAAAAAGCCAAGTCTGCAAGGAGCCTGACGTGGCATACACAGTCTGGCAGTAGTTGCCATGGAAGCAGAGATCAAGCGGCTTGGCTGAGTGTACCAAATCTGAAGTCTCGGGCAACCGCAGTACATGCCGAACTGCATCCTCGAGTTGTTCACAGACAAGAGAGGGAAAAGGAACAACATGTATGCCTGCTTCGGTAATAGCGGCAAACTGAAAATCCCTCCGAGGAGCGGGAGAGTGCTCGAGGGGACCCCACTCGGCCGCCTGCTCGAAGAGTGTACTGGGGCTGTAGGTACGGGGCGGCTGCCAACCTCTGAGAAGGACTGTGAGCACTGACCCAGTCGTGAAAGCCAGCTCGCCCGTGGAAGCCGGCATATCGGAGTTGTCGACCCAAATCACTACGTCATCTTGGTCGTACCACACAAGAGGGGCAACATACTCCAGTAGGCCCCTACAGCTGAGCCCCGACGGGAGAACCGCAGCATGGTAGTGCCCGCCTACCCTCGAGAGATCCAGGATAACCGCACAATGCACAGGGCACAGCTGATGTATAACCGATGAGTACGCCAGAAGGCTGAGGGAGCAATCATGACGCTGACAAAGGACGGGCACCAATGAGTCAAGTCCCTTGGATGGAAGAACTCCAATACCTTTGACAGCCTGAAGCACTTCAGAAAGTTGAGCACCCATCGGCACCTGCAGGCCAAAGAAAGACGGCACAAAGTGCGGCGCATAGATGGTCACCCCAAGAACACCTGGAGGAACCTGTTCTGGAGGGCGAGCCCCTGGCGGCGGCGCGTGCACAAAGTGAAAGCAATCTACCGTCTTATATTGACTATCGGACCCGGGCATATGCTCAGAAGCTGCTGGCTTTCCCCGATCTGGAAAGTGGTCGGGCACAAGAGAGGGATCACGCCCCGTGCCTTCAAGAACGAAGGCCACATCGTCTTTCCAGCTTTGCGCAGGCGCGGCCCAGACACAAAAGGGCATGCAAGAAAAGCCGAGGAGAGCACACAAAAGTCGCCCACAGCAATGGGTCTGACGAGACACTCTAGTGGCACGGCTTTTACCCCAAGGCCTATTTTTACGATCGGTCCACGGCAACCAGCTCAGACACGGTTTCTGAGGAGAGACACTCAGGCATAGTGCAACATGCTCCTTGGTGCCCGAGAGAGGCAGGCATAAAAGGCGACCCAAAGGGGAGGGTCCATTCACAAGCGGCTGCAAGAGCAGACGAAGAAGAGAAAGAAGGAGCAACGCGAGTAAGCTGCGACTGAAAGCCAATAGGCCAGGAAAGACCTCATGCTCGAAAGTCCGAGCACAGTCGCGAGGAGGATCTGAGGCGGCCGGGTTAGCCCTTGTCCCTGAGCGACCGATACAAGTGTTGCGCGCATAACCCTGGGCCGGGCAACCCAAATCCTCCGCTTCAATAAGCAGACCATCCGTGACCCGGATGCAAGACTGTCGCGCGGCTTCCGTAAAGAAAGCAGGAGGGCGACCAGGTCCGTGGGGACTAGAGACAAAAACCA